TTTTTTTTGTTGTTATTATTTTTTTTTTTATTAAATTAAATTAAAAAATATAAATTATAATTTTTTTACTTTATATTTTCCCCCCTTTTTATTCAAAAAAAAAAAAAAAAAAAAAAAAAAAAAATTATATAATTTTGTGTCTATATAAAACTTAAAAAACAAAACAAAAAATATTAAAAAAAAATACCATTTTTGTAATAAAAAAAATAAAAAAACTAATTTTTAACCTTTTAAATTAATAATAATAAAAAATAAAAGTATTTTGTAGTAAAAATAAAATATTAAAAATAACAAAAAAATTTAAAAAAAAACTTTTAAATTTTTCGAAAAAAAATTATTGTTTTTTATTGTTAGAATACATTTCTTTTTTAAAAAAAATAAAATAAAATACAAATTTAGTATATAAAATAAGATCTTTTATTGATATTAATTTTTTTTTATATTAATTTAAAGTTTTCTTTAAAAAAAATGTTCTTTTTTTTTATTAAATAAAAAAATAAATTTGATTATATCGAAAACTAGTTAAAAATATAGAAAGAATACCAAATACTTATTTTTATTTTATTATAAAGAATTTTTTAATGGAAAAAGATATATTTTAATATAAATATATTTTTATTTTATATACTAAATAAAAATAATTTTTAACATAAAATTTATAATTTTTTATTTATTTAAAAAAATAAAAATTTAAATATTAATTTGATTTTTATTATTTAAAATAAAATATTATCTTTACTATTTATAATAAATATTGTAAATATTTATATAGAATCTAATTAAAACTACACCTATATATATTAATAAATATTTGTAAAAAACTTTAATAAAAAAAACTACATATAAACAATATTTTCTTTAAAATGAGAAAGCCTATGCTTTTACATATAAGTTTTTTCGAATGTATTTTAATATTTACTTTATATTAATTAATAATATTTTAATTAAATAACTATTTTTGGCACTATAGACAATAATTTTTATACTTTAGTAAAAAAGTTCATTAATAATTTAATATTACGTATAATAAACTCATTAAAAATAAAGTCTATTTCTACTAAATATCTTTTTATTAGATAGTTTTTAAAGTGTTTGTATTTATTAAAATTATTATATTAATAGTTTATCCTTCATTTTATATTAAGAATAATCAATCTAATGATTTATATCACTATTCGATTCTGAAACTGATTCTAGTTTAACCAAAAAAAAACCAACTAATAAGTATTAAAATATAAAAACAAGAAGAAATCATATAAGAAGAACAGAAAAAACATCTAAATAGACTCCAAATAATAAAAAAATGTATTCCTAAATTGAAGAAAAAAAAGGTCTTTTTACAATAAAAGAATAACTACTTATATGTAAATAAATAAATTTTATAAGGAAATATTAATAGACAAATATAATGAATTTAATATATTCGATCATAAATAGACACTAAAAGCCTAATGTTTTAAATAAGTGAAGGAATTAAATGGCTAAACAAACTCCAAAAAAATAAAAAAATGCATAATAAATCTCTATATTATTATGCTAATACACTTATATTGATAAAGATATATAACTGTAAAAAACTGATACAAAACGACCATTTACATACAGATTTTTAACATTAAAAAAACTCCAAAAAAACCTTGTTTTCAACCTGTAATTCTTCTTAATTTTAAGTAAACATGATAAAAAACCAAAAAAAAAAAAAAAAAAGGAAAAACATGTATTTAGAAAAAACAAGATAATATTAATTAGATTTTAATTTAAAAAGTTTTTTTAAAATATTATATATATATATATGTATTTGTATAATTATTCATTTATTTTTCTTCCATTACACATTTAATATACATCCAGATTAAATTATCATATTAGCTATAGGACATCTTTTTTCAACTATTTTGCCTATTTTAATTATTGTTTCTTCATCTATATCGCCATGTACAATTGCTTCGCCTTATATTTGCTATAAACGGGAAAATACTGGAGCATCTTCTTCTATTGGAAGGTATTTAGCACCATTTTCATCCCTTTCAGCTTCTATATTGAAATCAATTTTATCAATTTTTACTTATAATTGTTTGGCTACATATTAGGCAGTAGCTTATTCACAGCCTATAAAAGATGATAAAAGTAATTCTATAGGTTATGGATATTGATTCGTACCTCCTCGATCTTTTGGAGTGTCAGTTCCAATTTAAAAGTTAGTGTTTTAAGGATAAGATATTGTTTTGCAGTTTGTTCCAGTTGATTTTATATAGTATTTTTTAATTTAGGGTTATAAAGTTAAATTTGAAGAATATAATAATTTTTGGATATTATTCATAAATTAATTTTTAATTTATATAATTTTAAAATTATTTATTTATTATAAAATATATATTTTAATATATAATAAAAAATAATTAAATTAGATTATAAATATATGAGAAAAAATAAGTATATATATTTAATAATTTATATGTAAAAATATATATAATTATATATTTAAATAAATATATAAAAATATATAAATATATAAATATATTTATATATTATTATATAATTTTTTATTTTTTATAAATTTATATACATTTTTTTATTATTTGTTTTTATATATATTATTTTTTTATTTATATTTTTTTTATAAATAAGTTCATTTATTTTTTATTTTTCACTATTCTTATTTAAATATTATTTTTCTATAAATCATAATAATAATTATTGTTTATTTATTTTCAATTATATATATTTATTTTTATTTTCTTAGTTTTTATTTTATTAATTCATATAACTATTCTTATTTTAAATTATTAACTTATTTAAAATGTATTATTTAATATACTTATTTATAAAATTATCTTTATTAAATATTTTATTTTTTTAAACTAAAATTCTTATTTGTAATATGAAGTTTATTCTTAATCTATATATATATATATTAAATTAGCTACTTTAATATAAACAATATATACTTTAAAAAAATATATGTATTTTATTATATAACTATGAAATTTAATTAAATATTAATGCTATTATACATAATATATTTTTATTTTTAACTAAATCTTATTTTAGATAAAACATATGTATATATACAATATAAAAAATTTAATTAAATAAAAAATATATAAAATAATAAAAAATAAATATATATATAAACATATATAATTATATTTTTTAATAAATAAAATATTAATAAAAAAAAAAAAAAAATTAAGATATAAAACTAATTAATAAAACAAAAAATTAAATAAAAAAATATGTTATTAAAATTATCGAAAATCCTCTATAATTTCTCTTCAACTTCTCCAAAAGGTTATAACCTATACACCTGGTCAGGTGCTTTAGGATCTGACCTAATCCCCCGTAAATTAACTTTAACAGATCCATCTGGCAAAGAATTAAATAACAAAATAACTAAAGTAAGATTAGGTTAAGGTCACAACTCCTTAATAACTACCGAAGGTCACTTATATACATGGGGAACTAATAACTATGGTTGTTTAGGTCATAATGATAACAAATAATACGAAAAGCCTAAATTACTTGAATTTTTTGTAAAAAAAAATCTCCGAGTAATTGACGTTGGATGCGGTGATAATTTCACAATAGCCCTTACACACGATGGTGATGTATGGACATGGGGTTTCGGTGGAAAATAAAGGAACTTTTTACTGAAGTATTTATTCCAAGATGGCGGTCCTTTAGGTCATGGAGATTAAAAACACCATTTTACCCCTTAACCAGTTTTATCTTTAAGAAAACTACCACCAACTATATAAATATCGTGTGGAGTAGCATTTTGTAATGCATTAACTAAGGAGAAAGACTTATTTTAATGGGGAAGGGGTTAACATGGTATTTTTGGGGATGGAATTTTCACCGAATAATTAAAGCCGAGATTGAATTAATATTTTACAAGGGAAAAACAAAACGGAACTACTATTGAAAAAATAAAAAGTTGCAATTATTACTCTATAGCGAAACTCTCGAATGGAAAAATAGTTGGATGGGGTTCTAATGATTTCGGATAAATGGGTATATAAAATGAAATTGGAGTCGAATTACATGAAACTGCGCCTTTTCCAGCTAATTTACATATGTAAAATTTTAAAGCAGAAATCGAAGATTTTAAAATCGGAGAAGATGTTTTAGTTGTTAAATTATTAAATAATTAAATCTACTATTCGGGTATGAAAATAGCGTATTTACCTAAATTGTTTGATTTGCCGAAAGATGTAGGCAAAATTAAGTGTTTTGGGGCTTCTTATAGAAGTTTTGCAGTTGTGGATGAAAATAATTAAATTTATATGTTTAATAAATTCATGAAACATAATAAGGAAGATGTCCATTCTGGTATTTATTTTGCAGATAATAAGCTTTTTAATGGAGGAAATATAGGGAAAATCGGAGGAGTTTATAGAAATAATTATGCTTTAGTTGAGGAAAATTGATTTTATTTATATATATATATATATTTTTTTTTTGTGTGTTTATTAAAATATTTATTTAATATAGACTAATTATAAATTATTTTAAAAAAAATTAATATATAAATTGTATTTTATAATATTTATATATATTTTGTTTTTATGTATCATTTATTTTTAATATTATTAAATATTAATTTATATCTATTTTTATTTTACATAAAATATGTTTTATAACAAAAAATGTATATTTTTTAGAGTATATTTATTATAAATATGATATAAAAATATATAAAAAAGATACAATAAATGATATAAATATTATACAATTAATAATATATATATATATAAATATATAATATTTTACTATATATATTACTTATAAATTCTTATAAAAATGTATTATTTTATAATTTATTTTTTATACAATTAATATTCATTTATTTTGTATATATATTTAATAATTTAGAATATTTTTTTAGAATAATTTAAAATAAATAGATTATATAATATTTAACATATTAATATTATAAATAATGAATTAAATTTAATAAAAAAAAAACATAAAAAATATTTTTTATTTTTTAAATATATTGTTTTTAATTTTTCAAAAAATTTAAAATTTAATTTGTTATTTATAATATATTTATAAATAGTTTTTATATCAAAAAAAAAATCATTTCATTTAAAAATTTAACTTAATTGATTATATATAAATACTAATGTATTTTTTTATATATATAAAATAATATATTGGCTTGAAAAAGACATTAGTTTTCTAATTTTAAGAATTTTATAAAATATATAAATGATATTAGATTTTTAATATAATAATATAATATACAAATTATATTAACATTTAATAAAAAACTTCTATCATAATTTAGATATAAAAAAAATTAATTTAGCATTTAATATAAAAATTATATATTTTATTTATAAACTTAAAAAAATAACAAAACATTATTTATAAACATATATTTATTAAAAATAGATAAATTTTTTATTAATAGAATTTAAGAATTCAAAGTTAATTTAAAAAGATAGATTTTTATACTAAATTAATATAAAATATAAAATCATTTCAAAAATATAAATATATATATATAAATATATTTATATTTATTTATTTTTATATTAAAATTTTTAATTAATAATTATAATTTATTATATAATATTTTTATATTAAAAAAAAAATTATTATTTTATTTTTTTAAATGATATTAGATAGAAATTTACCAACAAACTAAAGAATGTAAATATGAAAAATTTAATATAACTATTATTATTAAATTATATTAAATATATTATTTTATTTTTTAAAAGATAAACTAATATATTTTTTTTTTCAATTTAGCCAATTAATAATTAATGTTATTATAAAAACTTAGTCACATTAGATTTAAAACCTAAAAAGTACATTTTATTTTTATTAAGAAAAAATGCCTCTAAAATTTAAAAAATAAAAAATTATTTATAAAAAGTAATAAAAGCATTATACCTAAATTAAATTTTGACGAAAAGCCATATAACCCAACTTTTATTTTAGAAACTGAAAACGTAAAAATTAAAAAATATATATTTGTCTATGTGTATATGCTTTTTTTTTAAAAAAAAAAAATTAAAAATAAAAAAAAAGAATTTTAATTTTTTTAAATAAATAACATACATATTAAAAAAAAAAAAAGTTCATATTAAAGGAAAAAGATTGCTTAAATAAAGAAAAATACTTATAAAAGCTAATAAAGAAAAATAAAAAATAATATAAAATAGTAATTAATAAAAATTAATTTATATATTAAAATTTAAAAAATATTAAAATAATATATAAATATATATATATATATATATATGTAATTATATAAAAGTAAATATATATATAAATATATATATATTTTCATATATAGTTTTATCCTGAACCAGATACTAGATGTTCTTATTGTTGTGTTTGTAAAAAAAACTACAGAGATTACTATTAAGTAAAAATATCATAATTTAATATATAATTTATAGTTTTATATTTAAATAATTAATAATAGCATATATATTCAAAACTACATAAAAAAGTATATTAAAATAATTCATATACAAATGAAATATAAAAGCTAAGTTTAGATTACCAAAATTATTATATAGATAAAAACGAAAGATATTATTAAAAATATAAAATTTAGCATCCTTTATCTATTTTTTTAAAAAAAGAAAATTTAATAAGTGATTAAAAGACAAGTAATATAGGAAATGATTAATAATATAAATGGAATAATAATTTTAAAACTGAAAAGAATTTTAATTAATATTAAATGAAAAATTTTCAAAAATATTAATAATAAATATATGACTAATTAAGCTAATATGTATAATTAGTATAATAATAAATACATAAATTTAATACGAATAATATATAAAATAACTAATATAATAAATATAACTTATATACCCCTAATAATTTTTATGTAAATGATAGTTTAAACAATATTTGCTAAAAAAGAAAAACCTTATAAAACATTGATTTCTAAAACTTAGAATATTTACATTAACAAAATAGATGTGCAGAATAATAGGAATATAATAATATCACTCATATTGATAATAAATATATTTAGAATGATTATAATAAAAATGATTATTTAAAATCTTATTTATGATAATAATATATATATATATATCTATATATATATATATATATATATATATATATAATTTTTTTTTTTTATTAATACATTATATTATTATATATCTAATGTATTCTATTCCAAACAAACATATATTTTTTATTGTAAATTTTATGTTCATATTGCATTTTTAATAAATTTTAAAATAATAAAATAATAGAAAAAATATTTATATATAATTATATATTCATTTATAATAATCTATTTTTAAATTTAAATAAAAAAAAGTTTTTTTTTTTTAAGTTTTATAAATAAATCTGAAATGAATCAACTAAATAAATCTATAGCATGTAATTTTTTAGTAAATATATTATTTTATTATATTTTAAATAAAAAAAATAACCCAATAGATATAATCATAATGTTAAAGTTATTCAAATAATCTTTTTGTAGAATTTCTTGTTAACATAAATACTAGAATGGACTTTAAATATCCTTATTATTCCCTTCCTTCATATTCTATTATCAAGCCATAAACTAGTACATAAAATCCTTAATATTATTTAGCTTTAAATACAATTGAGAGTATAAAGATATTAAAAATAAACCTCTAAAACCCCTAAGAAAAAATCCAAATAATAAATTCAATAGACCTAACAGATTAAATACAATAAAAAAATATCATAGATTATCATAAATTTATAAAAAAGAAATAAATAACATTTAAGAACTATATATGTTTATAGGAATTTAAAGCGGATAAATTCTTATTATGTCAGTACTAAATGGAAAGTTTATTAATAGGTATAATTGTATTGATTTAATAGGAAATGAGACTTGGCATTAGAAAAAAATAACTAAAATATGCACTTCATAAAATGGTTTAACTTTTTATGTACTTTTTTAAGATTCTACTATTATTTAATACTCCTTTAATAGTAATTAAGAAAATTTCGAATTTTAATAATTTATAAAAGAAAAAGAAAGAAATTTAAGCTTTTAATAAATAATTGAAAATAATATTTCTTCTTTATAAAATTATTAAGTTTAAATAATTAATAATTCTATTTTTTAATCTTATTCTTTTTCGAATCTAAAAACAGATTTATCAAAAGGACCTCATAAATATATCAAGTTTAAATCTAAATCAATTACTTCTATGCATTTAATAAGTTGTCAAGATGACACTTTTATAAACTAATTTCTATTTAAAACAATAACTTATAGCCATATCTACATTAGAAGGTTATTTAAAAGTATTAGAAATAAATGATTTTATACCTGTATATTCCTTTAAAGTTAATTATGGGGGTATAAATGCATTCTCTATAGATGAAAAGGGTACTTCTTTAATATGTATAAGTTGTCAAGATGACACTTTTATCATTTTGAACCCCAGATTGAACACATATAGGAGAATTACAGGTCATTATAGTTTCGTTTCGAGATCTATTATGTATCATACGAATGATATAGTTCTAAGAATAGTATCCGCAAGTTATGACGGCCGAATTTGTTTTGTAGAATTTAAAAAATAAGATTTGGATGATATTGAACAGTAAGATTATCAATATAATTAATAATAATTACCAATATAAGTTTAATATGATAAGACAAAAAAATCAGGAATGTTAAAGGAAACTTTTTTTTCTAAATAAACTAAGAAGGAATAGGTTATTTAGAAAATTTTGACGATTTTTTAATAACAAGTGCTTTTGATGGATGCACGACTTTACTTCTTTAAAAAAATGCAAATAAAGATGAAATTAAGTAATTATAAAATGATAAGAAATGATGTTTAATAAATAATATAGTGAATATATATATTATAGATGTATATTTATATATAAATATTAATATATATATATAACTATATACGGAAATAAAATAATATATAAATATTAATATTTACATATATATTATCTTCTATATTTATATTTATATCTTTAAATATGTTTATTCATTTTTTATTTTAATTGTTAATTTTTAATGAAAAAATTATTTTAGTTTAATTTAAAAAATAAATAATATTCATACTATTTATTCAATAAAATTTTATTATGTGAAGTTATAATTTAAATTAATAATTGATTTATTTTTATATTTTATGCTTTCTTAGAATTTTTCTTAATTTTAATGACAAATAATTTATTTATTTTTTAAATTTTATAATAAGTCTCTATCATTAATAAATATTTCAATTAAAATCTTCTTTAATTTTTTTAAAAATAAAATTTAATTCTCATATTCTTCTCTACTTATTGCTAAATCTATTTTAATAGGTTTTAATTCGTAGGTTTTTTAAATATCTTTCTATAATTTCTCCACTCTAATATATAATTCATCGATTTCTTATCTAGCTTATATAGCGTCAGCAACATGCAATTCATATTATCCTAAAATTTCATTCAACTTAAAATTATATGGAATCTTTTTTTAATTATATAGATAAAATTAAAAATTTATTTTATTTATACTGAAAAAAACCAGGAATATCTTTACCACTATATAATTTTGTTACATATAAGCCTATAGGTGGTTATTAATTTTCCATATGTTAAAAAACATCAATTACTTATTAGAATTTCTCAGAAAAATAATCTTAATCATTATTTATAATTAATGTTTTGACAACTAAAAATAATAATAATATATATATACATATATATATATATATATATATATATATTTTTATACATTAATTAATTTATTTATTTTTTAATTTGTTATCTAAATATATTAATCTAGGATCAATTAATTATTAAAATAATTTTTCAATATTTCCTTTATATTGAGAATCTTCTGCTACTATTTTAGCCCATAATAATGGTTTTTAAGACTTCATATCCATACTATACATTTCTTATCTAACTGAATCTAAAATTTTCTATTAATTTATTGATGTTATTTATTAAAATAATAATTTTCCTATTCTATCTTTTGCATTTTTTTTATATATGGAATCTATTAAAGTCTGTTTTTTAAAAATATAAATATATATATTGACTAAAATAAATGATAATTACTTCATTTTTATCAAAAGGTTCCATTGTTTCTTAATATTTCTTAAATTAAACATCTTCGTCTATTCCTTCATCTACAAACTATTATTCCTCACTCTACTCTCTTAATTATTTTGCCAAGTAAGGATTCGTTTATAATCTAACTATTTTAAGTTCATTTTATAATATTTATATAGATCTATTATATATATACATATTTATATAATTATATTGTATAAATATACTATTCTATATGTGATTAAAGTGTTTCTTATGTTACATTAGCTTATATTTCATTTAGATTTACTATTTTTTTATAAATAAATAAATACAAGTTATATATTTATATAATTACCTTCAATTTATAAATATTTTTTTGCTTTTTTATTTACTTTATCAGGCAAATAAAAGCAAAGCCTTTGTTTTGAAACTCCCGAATTTTAGGAAAGTGAATCTAAATATGAATTCAGAATTTTTAATGAACGAGAATTTTCCTCTTTTATTTTTTCAGGAGCGTTTCCTAATATATCAGGATGGACATTTTTATAAAATTCACTTAATTTTGATCTAGACTTGAATATTGTATTTAATGAAAAGTTGAATTTGTTAATTTTATAGTTTTATTTTTAATAAAATATTTATTTTATATAAATCATTTTTTTATATATTGAGATATTTTCAAAAAAAATCTTTATATTTTTACATAATAAAAAATAAATTTATATTATTAAAAAAAAAATATATTTTTTTTTTTATATATATATATTAATGGAAAACATAATAATATTAATAAACTATAATAATATTGACTACGAAATTTACGATTATACAGATAACCTTTATGAAATGAAAGAAAAAATTAAACGTAAACTTTAAATTACTTTCGATATAAATATATATTGGTATCGTACTCCAGATACTTAAGTTTTAATATGCGACAATGATAACTGGAAGCACTGTATTTTAAAACAAAGCAAATCTTAATAAAATAGCGCTGAAATTTTAATAAAAATACAAGCTAAAATAGACGAATCGTTTGAAGATTTTTAAAAAACTTAAGAAGAAGTGTAAGATAATTATAAAATCAAAAACCTCCCTTAATGGTAGTCCCTACAAATAATAAAATATACACATAATATTAATGCTATTAATGCGAGGGAGGTATTTAAAGGAAAGCTGAATTTTGTACAGTTTGTGAAAATACAGGGTTTATTAAAAGATCTTAATAAATAGAGTAAATAGAAAAATAAGTGGAGTAAAAATTATGTAATATTTTCCCGGAATTAAAATAAGTTTTTAATATTCAAAATTTTAATGGAAATACTTCCAGTAGTAATAATATATGTGAATAGTAATAATTGTCTATATAGAATTTAAATAAAAATATTAAAGAATAATAAAAATATAAATAACAATTAAATAATTTATTCGAATTAAATAATAATAAATAATAATGCTAGTTTGATGTTATTAGTTATCCCAATAATAAGTAATTAATTGAATTTACGGAAAACGAAATGAGAATTCTTATCTTCGAAATATAAAGAACAAATAATAGTATATGGCCTAAATAGGTTTTCATTGAATAAAAAAAAGATTAATATTTTGATATTGCAAATAAAGATTTTACAACATATGATTTTTCTAATAATAATGAAGTTTAATAAATAAAACTTTATTTAGTAGCAAAATAATTCTTCGATACTAAAATTGTATCCAAATGGAAATTATATTATAATGATGAAAATAATGTCAAATAAAAAATTAATGGAGTACTTTCTTTCTAAGCTAGTTATAAATCTAATAATAAATCAACAGTTACTGGATATAATTTAGAAAACTCTATATCTAATGATTGAAACTAAAAAGAATTTAATTATATTAATATAAGTAAATATATATAAAAATATATTTAAAATTAATATATAAACAAAATATAAATATTAATAAAAGATAAAATTAGCTTTAAATATATTACTTTATAGTATGTCTTTTTTTTTTTTTTTTTTTAATTTATTTTTTCTCTAATTTTTTTTTTTTTATTATAAAAAAATTATTGAAAAAAATAAAAAAAAATAAAAAAAAAATTAATATATATATTTAAGTAATAAAATTCTATCAAATGTTTAAATTGTTTTTATTCAATTATGTTATAAAAACATTAACTTTTATTGGTGAGCTACTATTATTATCCAATACATTTTCATTTAAGGCTTAAAAGATACTCTAATCTTATTAATATATTGAAAATTTAGAATTTACTTCTTAATATTCTTAAATTTCTGTATTTTATTTATCATTATTTTATTATTAAAATTTATTAAAATCTTCCTAATGTTCATTATTATTACTATTTCTTTTTATATCACCATCAATAATAAAAAAAATCGAATTTTTCCTAATATCATTCCTAATAATTTACGGATTTAAAAAATTAACATCTTTATTAATTAAATTCGAAGAAACTACCTATCCTTCGTCCTAAATAGAATCTTCTTAAGAAAAAGTAAAATAATTATTCTATTTACTAGAACCCCCAAAAGAAGAAATTGAAATTTATTCTTTGGACAAGTATTAAGGGACTACTAATATATTCGAACTTTCTTTATTTTAATATAGATTTTTGTTCTCACTTATTACAGGCATTGAATTTAATTTAATAGCATTTATATTATTATTATTATTATTTAAAACTGGAAAATTAATAAGCGAATTTTATAAATTATTATTCTATAAAATAATTGAAGTGTTTTTATTTCTCCTATATTCAGGTAAATTTTCCCAATCTAATCTATTATTATCTTAGTTTTTTCTGTTTATTAAACAACTTCGAAAAATTTCCCTATATACATCGTACTAAGGTTCTTCGGTAAATTTTAGATTTCTAATAAGTTAAAAAAAACTCTAAAATTCTTTTGGACAACCTTCACATAATTTTTCTAGTGTAATATTTTCTTTTATTTCTTTTATTCTTTAATATTTCTCATTTCTACTTTTTCCTAAATTCGTACACTACCAAGCTAATTTTCCTCTCAATATATATACTAGAGTATATCCAAAACTCTCTAAATCATCTCTTCGTGATTATTCTATTCCATTATGCGCATTTATACTAGCAAATCTAGCTGTACCAATCATTCCTTTTATTTTTTATAGAAAAAAAATAATATAGATATATGTATTTAATATATATATATATGTATATATATATATATATATATATATATTTTTAATTATATTTATACCTTTTTTATTTACATAAGGTATATGTACTTTTTATTTATCTCTATAATTTTTATATTTAAATATACATATATATATTTTTTTATATATATATTTTTATTATACCTATAAAATTTTGCCAAACCAAAATCTAATAAAAATATTTTTTCGTATTATTCTTCGTTTCCGATAACTATATTTTCTGGTTTTATATCTCTGTGTATAAGTCCATATTTATGAAAACACTCTATTCTATCTAATAATTATAATCCAACTTATATAGTTGAATAAAGAGACAATTTATTCCCACATTTGGCTGATATTTATGATAAGTTCTTTCCTAAAAAAGTCATAATGGCATAATTAAATGAGCTAGTTTTTCCGTACCCTATTATTTATGGAAAACCTTCCTCTTCCTTTAACAAATACATTAGTTTGATTTCCTTTATTAACATACTAAACTAACGTAAATTTTTTCTTCACATTTTAAAGCATATTGTTGATTATTTGTTATATCTGAACATAAAAATATTTTGCCAAAAGAACCTTCACCCAATTTTTACTTTATAAAATAACGTTATTATAAAAGCATTCCTTTATGTATGGAAGGTGTTAAAGAAGTGTTTAAATCATCTTCAGTTTAGTTCATTAAATTTTATTATTTTTATATTTAATTTTTATGATATAACTTAAAATATATATATATATGTATTTTTTAATTTAAGTTTATAATAAAAAAATTTATAATTGCATAATTAGATATTAAATTATAAATATAAATATATATTTATATATATATTATTTATTCTAATATATAATTTTTTTATATTTATTCAATTATATACGTATAATATTTATTAATAAAATATAATATAGTATATTTAATATTAAATCTCTTTTTAAATTTTTGGTTTTTTTTGTTTTTTTTTTCAAAGTTTAAGTTATTTAGCCTTCTAAAATAATTTTTCAGTTACTTTCTCCATTTAATTGTTATGCTCTAAAGCATTTTTATACAAATCCTAATTAAAATCATATAAAAAAAAATTATATTTATTATAATTACGTCACATTTTATATCATCAAATAAAATTAAACAGCCACTTCCTTGATCTAAGGTTCCATCGATTTTCTTATCTAAAATTAATTCTGATAATCTTAACAAAAAAATATATTTAAATGAATAATATATATTAAATATTTTATTAATATATTTATTTATATATATAAATTTAATATTAACTTTGATTAAATTAATTCCTAATTTAATTTAATCTATTCAGATATATGACTAATTTACACTCTAGTATAAGGTTCTATAACTCGAAATAAGTTTTATTCTAAAAGTTAATCATGTAATTAATTTAATTAATTCTTAATAATCGCATCACCAGTGATTTCTATATATAAATATATATATATATATATATAAATATATATATATACATATTTATATATATAATGTTTCATACATTTAGAATATTCCGTAATTAATTTACTAAATTATTAAAGACTATTAGCTTAATATGCTAAAGTAATTTATTTCATAGCCTATAAATCATCTCCTGCATATTTAAGCCCATATTTTCCGCTTAATAATTAATTAATATCATCATAATTTCCAGTCATGATTTTACATAAAAGCATATATTTTAATGCTTTTATAGCTTTTACATCATCTGCTGAATTTAAAGCTTCAAAAGCTTCATAAAAATAAGAATATCTATATATTTTAATATATTATATATAAATCAATATTTTAATTTACGCTGTTTTATAATCCTTATCTTCAGCTTACAAAATACCAGACATCATATCTATATCAGCTTATAAAGCTGGAGAGCAATAGATAGAATTAGCACAGGCTCTAGAAGCAGTTAAAGATGCTTTTGACTTTGCTAAATTTTCCAAAGAATATTAAATTTTTGACTCAATTAATTAAGCTTCGACTAGTAATTATTTATCATCGGCTTTTCTAGTTTCTTTTAGAATATTTTCTATTAATAAAAGAGCTTTAGTATAGTTTTAATTTTAATTGTGTAAAGTAGCTAATTTTATTTCTATTCTATGTCTTAAATAGGTTCTTTCTTCACGTTTACACCAGTCTATTAAATATTCAAAAAGTTTAATCTAGAGATCTTCAGTATTAGGCATTAAAGATACATATTCAATTAAGTTTTTTATTACTTTTGCAGCTTTAGCCTTTGTAAACTAATTAATTTATTCTTTTTAGGTTGTAATTAAATCGCCGATTTTTTAAGCGTTACTTGTTTATAAATAAATATATAAATATGTATAAATATATATATATATTTATATTTATATATTAAATTTATATATATATATGTAAATATTTATTTTATTTATATTTATATTTACTTTTATTTTTTATATTATTCTGCTAAACTATAAAAACATTTTTCTTTTATTTTGAAATTTTCATCTGTAGGATTGCATTCTATAATTTTTTTTTCATTAAAATAAAAAAAAATTATTATACCTGTATTTATTATCATTAATAATTATTTTTCTTGTTCAAGAAAAGGTTAAGCTTTTTGTTAGTTTTCATATTTTTCATATAATTATTCTATATTCGATTTATTTTGAACAGACATTTTTATTATATATATCTTTTTTTATTAAAATTATATTTATTTTAAGATTAGAGAGATATAATTTAAAAAAAAAATATATTATTTCAATATTTATAATATTTATTTTAAAAATAATTAATATACTTATTATTAATTGAAGAAATTATAAAAAAATATATATATTATTATTTTAAATACTTATTATATTAATAAAAAAAATAATTTAAAAAATTATTTTTATAATTAAATAAATATTTTTCAAAAGTAAAATTGTAAATAAAATATTTAATAAACTACAAACATTATAAATAATATGTAAAAAATAAGAAGAAATAATAAATAATTAAAATATAAATAAATAAAAAATAAATATATTATTATTGAAAATTTATAATATATATATATATATATATATATATATATATTTATATTTTTATTAAAAATTTTTTATAATTTTAATATTTACATATTTAATATATATAATTTATTTTTTATTTATTTAAAAATCTTATATAATTTATATTAAATTTTTTTTATAAATTAAAAATTATTTTATTTAAAATGTATTCTTTACTAAAAGCTATATATAATGTTTATTTTGAAAAACCAACATATAAAGTATTAATAATTGGTTTAGATGGTACAGGGAAAACAGTAAATATTCAAAATAATTATATTTATAATTTATTTTTTAACAATATAATATAGCATTTACTAACCAGACTTAAAAAAAATGCAAACTAAAAACATATAAGTTT